CCCCCCCCCCCCCCCCAATCCGTACCAACAGCACATGCGCATCTCGTCCGGAACGCTTCTATATGGAATTTCCATTAGAAAGTTTAATTAACACACATCCGTTCATGGCAGCACACATTGGCGATGCATTATTATACGTTTAGACAGAAAACAACGATTCCGAGTGTACTATGATGATAATGTATTATTAGTATGGTCACTTATACTGTTACTATCTGGCATAAGAGTACATTACAGTTTCCGAAAACCCCGACGAAATTATTTAATAACTATTCAAATATTTTATTCATTAAACAACTGTACCTATCAAAGTTGGAATGCACGAGTACACGGCCAGCATAATATTTCATGCCTTGCAGTTTTATAACGGGTGAGTGAGAATCATGGAGATGAATAAAGGAAACCAAATGAAGAAACATAATATCAAGTAATTTAATCTTATCCAGTTATAATATTATATTTATTATTAAAGACGAAAAACTATTTTGAAATTTGTTTTTGAGGTTAATGTTTCTTAGTACGAAATGTAAGATATTTACTGTGGTACTTCGAATGCAGTTGAACAATTAGGAAATTAGGAAACTCAAAATAAAAAAAAACGCATTCATCTACTTTTAGCTCAACAATACAATCGAGTGAAATTGTTTGAAAAATGTTTTTCGTAGAAGCGTTAAGAAATGGACCAATCGGGTATTGTTGACCAACACTATAGGACTAACATTGTTATTTGTGGTCAAAACTGCACAACTATAAAAGGAAACGATAAAAAAATCATTACAAGTGACTATTAAAACAGGTGACAGGAAAAAAAATTACTCCAATGTAAATATTTAGTAATGTAGTTAATCTGATTGCGAAAAACAACGCGAAAATCTCTTGTTTATTATTATTTTTTTTTTTTAGAACACTATAAATAATTATTTTCTCCTCAATTAATCTTATCGTGCTCCCACCGGTTTTCGGCACTTGTTCTAAAATATTTTTCAGGCTCTTGTATATCATTAGTCAATATCAAAAGTCATTTTTAGAGCAGCTGTCAATTAAAATATCGGCAATTGTTTTGGGCATTTTTCGCGGTGAAATGAGTCGTAAAATTGGCAGAAAAACAAGCTTTAACACCTACTGCGTGTGGCGCCGTCGGTCGGGGCAGACATTTCTTCTCTAACCCACACGCGTACGTACGACGACGATTACTTGTAAGAATTATATTGTTGTAAGACAAAATGTGTTGTTTACACTTCAGATAGAACCACTGCTACCGTCGACATTCAAGAAAGTTTTTATTTTAGATTCTGAGTGAAGCGATGAATGTATTGACTTTACAATGATGGGTTTTATTTATTTATTTTTTGATTTTCATCACCTTTTGGAACCGCCGTTAAAATGCTTTGATTTTCTACTATTAAAAGGTATAAGACATTTTAAATTTGTATTAGTTTTTTTCTTTATAAAGGTCGGAAAAAAATTTTTGGTTGAACCAAAAAGCGGGAAAATTTAATTCAAGGTTCTTCATAAATTGTTTTAATAGCAGTTTAAAAATATTAAAGAAACATAGACACAATATTTTTAGTAAATATTTAAAGTTAAAATGTTGAAAAAATTCATTAAAACCCCGATAACTTGCAAATTATTTTGTAGTTAAAAATTAATTAAATGTTGAATTTCTATAGATTCTATGATTGAAAATTTAAAAAAAAGGTTCTTGTACCTTTATATTGTAACCGATAAATCTAAAAAAAATATTAAATTTCAGTTTTTTTTTATAGATTTTACGTTAAAATTTAGATGGAATTAGGTTTGTAAACAATGAATAGCAATTTTAATTATTTTGTTGTTATTTAAAAATATTATCCATAGGTACTTGAAACTTCTAATGTATATTAAAATATTTTATACACACGATGATATTCTAAAATACAAATTTTATGCCAAAATCAATTCAATCTACTATACCTATTACTAATGTCGAATAGTAAAATAAATTACTTAAGCAGCAATAATATCATACAGTATTCTTAGTAATATAGGCTGACAGACCAACTTTGCATAGAATCGTTTTTCGTAAAACCTACAATAATATTATATAATTGAATTCAAATTCAACACATCCATTCCAGAGTAGTACACACATGGTCACATNAATGTCGAATAGTAAAATAAATTACTTAAGCAGCAATAATATCATACAGTATTCTTAGTAATATAGGCTGACAGACCAACTTTGCATAGAATCGTTTTTCGTAAAACCTACAATAATATTATATAATTGAATTCAAATTCAACACATCCATTCCAGAGTAGTACACACATGGTCACATTTTTTTTATTAATTATTTCTATTTTATTTGCCAGGTTTTATCGTCACGGCTGCGGCTAATTATAACTTTATAAAATCATTTTCGTGGTACCTACTGATTAAGTCGGTACAATAAATATACTGAAAATACTTTGTCCGTTGGATACAGTTTATTATTGCTTATTGATCGATTATTTATTACCTTGTACTTTCCCAAATTGTTCACCGTGCACGTAAAGTATATGTCTCGGCCTTGGGTCACCGTCCAATTTTCCAGTGGCGCATAAAATTCAGGCATTATTTCGTCTGGTTCGTGCATTTGACCTGTAACATAATATACACCATTTACTCATTACACGTTTCATTAAACTTGCTTACGAACATTTATTGGACATAAAATATGATGTACGAATAGAAATAAAAATGTATTCATATAAATAATCTATGCGATTTTATTGTTTTTATTTTCAAATAAAAAAAGTACAATTTTCAAACCAAACGCAATCGAATGTGAAATGAGGCATAATTTATTTAGTCTAATTAATATTGTTAGTTATCAATACACACGTTCGTCAACAAATATTAAACATTCGGTTGACTACCGATATTTTATTAATTTCAATACATAATACATTTTATTATTAATCTATGGTTTCTCACAATGAATTATTAGTTTATTTTTATCGATGAATGTTTTCAATTAAGATATGACCATTAAGGAACCTGAGTTTATAATGTTGATACAAAGTTAACCACTCCATAAAAATAATGTATTTTTTCGTCAATAGTAATTTATCAAATATCGTTCCTGGAAATATGGGAGATGCAAAAATCGTTTTTTTTTAATGTTTCATTAAACATATCTGGTGTATAAAAGACATGGATATTTTTAAATTATTTCGGTACACTAAAATATTCTTATCCGCTCATTATAAAATTCATTCAACGTCAAAATTGTTTTTCTGTTTATAAAGAAACATGACGTATTAGTTATTAAAACGTGAGTACTGCAGTAGTCTAAGACAGTCACTTCATTGTCACAATACTTGAAATCAGTGAATGTGAGGTCATCCACTGTTCAACAGTTTATTTCATCGTCTACACGGGTAGTTGACAGGTTATATTCATCGGTATTCGATTCGATATCAAAACTAGCATCATGAGAAACCGTTCGAAAACCACCTACAATTCGATGTAATGAAATTGACTATACATTGCGCCGGCCAACGCATATACATAATATAAAATGTATTGTATAAAATAATATCGAAAATAATAAATACATATTTATGTTTCCAAAGACATCGTTCAGCATCGTATGTGCGCTTATCGTTACCAGTATAATATAACTGTGTTTAATTTAAATGAAATTTCTCGAATAGCCATGGCTGCAGTATGTGTAATATGTATTCCATTGAAGTGTGTAATTATGGTTCTCGTCAGATTACCAGATAGAAATGCCACTAAGCGAACGATAAACTTACAACGAAATAGGACGGGATCACTGCCGTCCATATACCAAATAATTCGTTAGACGTCGAATTAACTTCTATATTATTACGACCGCAACAAAACGTAATGAACCGTTTTTCGTGCACGTTGCAGGTTGTGGCAATCACGAACCAGGCGGATTATTAATATCATAAGATTACGCGATGCGAATGATATGAAATCTTTAAAACTGTAATCAGACAAATTCTGTATGCGGTTGATACGTCACGCAAAATGTACACCGGCAACGAATCTTCGCTAATTTATTGACCGAACGTTCGCAGTGTATCATTCATTCACAGTAACTTTGCGCATAACGCCGATTCTGGTGTAATATTAGTGGTTTTAGGGTAAATGCATTCAAAGTACCGCAAACCATATAATATATTGCCTATTTAATTACAGATTGTATTTATATATTTCGTGCTTACCGGTCAATCGAGACAAAAAAGACGCATAATATGAGGGGAGGTTGGATTTTTAGGTTTTAGTAATAATTTATTACATATTTGATTAGAGTTGAAGCTTTTTAACGAAATTGAAAAACGTTTAGGTATGATTTAAGGTCCATAGAATTAACCAATATCAAAGTTTATTTCTCATAATGTGAAATACTATTTTGACGTTAAAGAAACACCTTTCATTAATGTTGACACTATGTTATGATTCCTGAATATTTTTCAAAATGTTAGTTTAAATGTTATATTTTATTTTATCTACAGAAAATAATCGAAACAACTTTTAAGAGTGACTTATGTGGTAACATTTAGTTTTTCCACTGTCGCCTTAAGCCTAATCAGCCGATTAAAAATACTACCTATGATGGGTAATCTCGTTATAATATCTGATTTCACGATGAACGACGTTGACCATGTGGCTCATACTATATTGATGAAAATTAATATATATTTTGAATATTAGTATTTTGATAATCAACTGGTTTTAACGATTATAAATGGCTGGTTTCATTTTATTTTCTTACCTACCAATAACTATAGTATACCTATAGGATACCTTATACAGTACAGTGTTCGTGTTACTTAATAGTCAGTACCTTTGTCAATGTTTTTTAGTTGTTTGTCGTTACTAATCACAAACCGTTTTTAACAAGCAAACATAGCTTAAGTTTAAAAATAACTGAAGAACCAATCTAATAAAAAACCATGGACATAATTTTTTATAACAAACTGCCAAACTCATACCATGTGAAATAGTGTTCCAGTTCCAGATAATTTTTACCAACTATGATTTTCAATACGCAAAACATTTTACTTCAGTAGGTGAAGAACATTCATTAATCGTGTACAAAAACATTATGACTGAACAAAGAACCAAGATGACAAAAGACAGTATGCAAAAATATATAATTGTCAATCGTTTCACTAAAAATTATTTGAATAACAAATATTTGTAAAAAGCTAATGTTTTTAATGCAGTTTTAATGAATATAAAAATTGATCAGTGTAATGGATATATATGCATACAATTATAAAACACACAAGAAAATAAATCCCATCACTACTTAATACAATGCAAAATTTTTTTGGAACTTTAGTCTTCACTCTAGTCATAATATAATAAAGAAACATTGTATTTAGGTAGGTACTATTACATACTATCACTTAATGGAATCCTTTGATATTGTCAAAGACAACCTTCACGAAATTGTTGTTGAGCTCGTGACGTATATACTAGTCGAATCTACATAAAAGGTTCGAGGAAAACCAGCACATTGTAGAATGTAATGTTCCGTTTAAGTTTCCTCCAAAAATGTGAAACTCGTGGTCACTGGTATGTTAAACCAAAGACATACAATAGATCAAACAATGAATTCCATTTAAAACTGGAAGTGTTACCATATCAAATTTTTGTAAGTTTTAGGTAGTAGTTTTTAGCGGAAAATTCCAAAAAAAAAAAATCCATAACAAAGTTACCCGTATGAAGAACGTGTTGAATTCAAATTTCATAGAAAAATACCAATCTGGTTGATAAACTTTAAATAAAACAGCAATTATACTAAACGAACATAATATTTAAAAAATAAAAATTAATAACTTTAGCTAGAATACAAAATATGCATGACACCTATATAATCTTAAATATTCTAAAAATAAGAATTGAGACGTTTTTCGAAAACTTTACTAAAAATGGTACTGAAATAAATGTACATAGTATACATTTTTTTTTTGATATTTATTATTTTTGATTATTTCAATATACAAAAGTATACGACGTATATTATTTTATCAAATTTAAAAGCTTTAAGATTATTTTAATAGTTTTCAAAGAAAACAAGTCTACACTTAATAAAATTGGATGTGACTGATGAACATTAAGTTGTACCTTTCAATTAATCCAAAATTATAAGTATCTAAATATATTTAGTTTATGTTTGCATAATATACTTTGCAACATTATATTATTTTCATGCTAAAAAAAAAATAAATACATAATCTTGCTAGGTATCAAATTTTGAATATTTTTTATGTAATTACAAAAGTTATTATCAAAACAAATAAAAATCAAAGACTTGAGTACAAATCTCTCTCTCAAAAAAATGTTTGTTGACAGACAATATGCGATGAGTAGAACTAGTCCTTTAAATACCTGTGCACTGAGGCTTTGTTGAACTATGTACGGTTAATGGCACGCAAAACGGTTTACGAATCTATCAAAGAATACAAGTAAGTATAACCGGTCGATCCGCGGCAGCCATTGATCCACATTTTTTCGGACGAGAAACTTCTTAGAATGAATTATGAAATACCTCAATATACTATATTACTTATAGCGTGTTCAATAAAATCATTACATAGAAATCCTAGGCTTTCTGTAAACTCCATTATGCTATTTGGTAATGTGTCAAATTTGATTGTTCATTTTAATTTCGCCTATACAGGTAATCAATTCATAGTTAGAATTTCTAAAGAATGCCAAAGCCATGTTAGGTAAAATATTAATAGCTTGTTTTATCTCTTTTCATGAGTTTTGAATAAATGTAAATCAAAATATGTTTATTAATAATTTAACTTAGTAATAACTTTATCAATATGTTTTCAATTTCTCTATAATATTATCTATGTGCTTTATCTTAGCATACTTTTTATACTGCTGAGTGCTGGTTGACGATGCATGACATTTCAAATTGCATTCACTATTATTTGTACACCTGTTTTTTCTTTTATCTGACCATGTCTTAATTTTAACTGCTTGATTTACAAGTATTAGATTAGTATTTCTTCACTTTTTTATGGCATTTTCATTAGATTAATTAAATATTTGATTGAATGGTATTCTAACTTTTCCATTGCATTCCCATTATTTGCAAACTGACATGACAAACGACTTATCTGTAATATATTTTTGTTAAAATATTTTTAAAGACTTGTATTGTTATTAATAAATTGACTTACTAAAATCATAAATAATAAATTTAAATTATACAAATAACACATATTATCATTCATAAAGATCAATTCTATGAAATGGCTGGGTATAATCACCTTCGTATTTTATGGGCCGTGATACTTAATAATTGTGGCTTATAACGGCTGTATATAACACTTTGTCGGTAACATATACATCACAATAATATCCTATATAAAGAATGACATTTTATTTGTCAAACATCAGAGCTATACATATCCGAAGAGAATTTTTCGAGTGTGAGATTGAAAAAAAAAAAATTCTACTAAGACCACGAAGCGTATTCTTTGCCGTCTTTAAGTTGTAAAAAAAAAAAAAATAATAATAATAATAAATGTTTTTTACACTGTTTAGATATGATTTCGCCCGTGGCCGCACACCGCCGCGGGATGAGTTTCCACTGCTGT